TACCTGAGAAGCTCTAGTCACACAGGTCTACCTGGACAGTTACCTGAGAAGCTATAGTCACACAGGTCTACCTGGACAGTTACCTGAGAAGCTCTGGTCACAGAAGCGGCAGTTGTAGCAGGGCTCAGCGCCCTCCACCGAGTGCGTCTGCAGGTGTCGCAGCAGCTGAGTCTGAGAGCTGAACGTCTGGTCGCACACGGTGCAGGTGAGGTCAGGCAGCCGGTGCTGCAGCCGGTGGGCGTCTCTCTCTTTGGCCGACTCGAACACCTTCTCGCACCTGCTGCAGGTGAAACCTCCCTTGTCCAGGTGGGTCTGCTTGTGATTGGTCAGGCTGGACAGGTGGTGAAACTCCTTGTCACACTGGCCGCAGTGGTAGATCGGGCGTGCTCGGTGGGTTCGCTGATGCGACAGCAGCTCGGCTTTGCTCTTGAAGACAGCGCTGCACTGGAAGCAGGAGTGCGTCCTCAGGGGGCGGGATTCTGGGAGGCGGGGCTCCGGTGGGCGGGGCTCTTCGTCACTGCCATCAGGTCGACCCTGCAGGGTGACGACTCCGGACGACATTAAGGCCGAACCGCAGGATTTGTTGGTGCGCAGGTGTCGGATGACCTGCAGACAGTCAGACATTGAGCTTCGCACCTCGAGCCGAGTTGATCAAACCTGACTTCATTAAACCTGGATTCATCAAACTTCAGTCTGCAGGTCAGATACAGCCTCCATGAAGGACCAGAATTTAAAATCTGCACAACTCATACTGAACTGTGACTGACATATAAAAAAAATATTTTATGACTCATTGTTGTTCTACTTTTCAAATAGCTTTCTAATGAATCGTACTGTTTTTACGCCTCGCATACATTTTTTGTAGCTTTAATTGTTTTTTCTAACTCTGGTCATATTTATTTTTTAAAGATTTCTATGACTTGTGCTCTTTGTTTTCATTTTTCTTGCCTGTATTTCTGTCATATGAAAACACATTTATGAGTCCTACTGGTTTTGTACGCTTTACTGTTTTTTGTCCTTGTTTTTTTAGTCATGCTGGTTTGTTATTTGTGTCACTGTGTATTTGTTCTTTGTGGATGTTTTGTGTTTTCGGGGCTCTGAACAGTATAAATAAAGTTTCTACAAACACGTGTTGCTCGTTCTGATCATTCTGAGTGAAACACCAAAGACCCCGTGTCAGGAACACATCAGTACCTGAGAACGGTAGATGAAACACTTCCCACACTGTGGACACTTGTGAGCCACCCGCTGGGAATTATGGGAAATGCTGTACAGAGCGTTCGCTGTGACCTCAGAGCAGGAATGATCTGATTGGTCAACTGCAACGAGAGGAAGACAGCTTTCAGTCCAAGTCACTTCATCTGTGTGCATGCGTGTGTGTGTGTGTGTTACCTGTGTCCTCTGATTGGTCAGCAGAGTTGCAAGGGGAGTCCTTCAACCTAACAGAATAAAGTAATTAGTAACCAGGTGGTAAGAGAAGGGTCCCAGTTTGCAGCAAAAGTCTCACCTGTCCACCTCTGGGACTACATGTGCCACTGGACACCCGTTGCTGCACGCTGCTGAACTCTCATTGGACGCCTCTAGGCTACCTGGTGACACGTTCTGACCAATCACAGCCTCATGTATATCGCCCTGCTCGTCCTCCGCCATCACCACCACCTCCACCTTCACCAGCTCCACATCCAGCTGCACGGGACCGTCTGATTGGAAGTCCGTGTCAGAGGTAGGAGGGTCAGGATTGGTCAGGTTGGTGAAGAGGGGGTGGGACCAGGCGGACAGGAGGGTCTCCTCAGCATCACAGGTAACTGAAGGTAACAACAGAATCAGTCAGGACCACCTGAACTCCCCCTGTGTGATTAGTTGTTACCACCTGCGTGTGATTCTTACCTGTGGTGGTGGCTCGTCCAGATAAACAGCTCTGATTGGTCAGCAGCTCCCTCAGGTCTTCCCTGTCGGCCTCCTGCAGACAGTCATCCAAGCCAGCAGGGGCAGCAGTGAGCCAAGAGGCCGCCTGACCGACATGAAGAGCAGGTTACAGAGCGGACTTGAGGAGAGCGCGGCTCATGTTACCAGGTTGTTTCCACACGGTGCAATAACTTCATGTTGTTTTTTTAATTAGCATCAATTCAAGAGTTCTGACTCTTTTGCATACAAGATGCAGGTTTCTGACACGGTTCCCTGCACTATCCAGGTTTGTTACACCCCTTACACATTTCTATCCAGCTTATGTCAAAGCGAGACTCGTCCTAGTCCAGCAGCGCTTTTAGGCCCTACTTTCAGGATCTCCTGGACGTAAAGCTCTGGGTGGCAGGATTCACCTGTTTGAAGTCGGGGACAGGGAACAGCTGGTCGATCCTGGACAGAAAGTCTGAAATGAGGGACTGGAGGGCCGAGTCAAACTTCTGGTTAAACACCTCCTGGAGGACACAAAGAGGCAGTGCTGATGAAGGACTGTTGGTCTGATGCTGCTGATGAAGGTGGCAGCACTGACCTGTAGGAGGCGCCGAGTGTCAGCGGGACTCTGCGTCAGTTTGTTGCTGAGAGTCAACAGAGCAGAGCAACATTCATGGAGCTCCTGGTCCAGCTGCTGACAGAAACACCATGTCAGTATGTTTCAACCTCCACATCCCACAATGCTCTGCAGCCTGGTCACATGATCACAGCTGCATCCACTCAGACCACAGCGACGCCACGATCTACCAACATCACAGTTTGCAAAACATGTTGTGCTAAGGTTCTGGTTCAGAGTGTCCGGCCTGGACCGGGTTATGGTGACCTTAACCCGACCAAAAGTCCAAATAACTCTAAAGTGAATCCCTCACAGTAATCAGATTACTTCTAATAGCAGACTATCTGCTCTGACACCAGATTACAAACTACCAGCTCAGATCCACAGATTACCTTCAGGCTCCACAGCAAGAACTGAACGACAGTCAGTCCATCTCCGGTTCCTTCAGTCTTCATCTGCTGACAGACTCAGTCCTCCTCAGCATGGAGGAGACCAGAGTCCACTAAGTTCTGCTCTTTGCTGGAGGGGTTGTGCTGCTCTACCTTTCTCTGGAAAACACCTCAAAGGGGTTCTGTTGGACTCAGACCAGGACTCACACTGTCCAGGTCCTACTGATAACCCTGTACCAAGTGAAAGTAGTTCTCTGTCCATGGAGTCGTTTTGAAGGACGACCACTACAGCTCTGATTCGTGGTGCTACATCTGCTTCTAGACCTAGAAGCTCTGATTAGTGGCTCCTTCTAGACCTCCTGATTACTGCTGACATTGTGATTCAATTAGTTTCTACTTTGGAACTTGAGTTTTCAATATTTGTTGTTTTGATCATCAGAGGAAATTCTCTGCGGTTCCACTTAAAGTAATCTGACTACTGTTGGGAGAACTGTAGGCACTGCTGTTGGACTCTGATTCAACTGTTCAGCTCTCGACTCAAACCACCTCGACGACGGACTCCGATTCATTTTAAAATGTGGATGCACTCTGAGTCATCCTCACCGTTGGCCCGGAGACAGAGCAGATCCTGTCCAGGTGTTTGTGGACGGCAGGTGAGTCGGGGTCCGACAGGGTCACCTGAAGAAACAACAAAGTCTAGCTGAGTGAAGCCAAACGTTTTCATCTCAGAAACGTCGACTTCAGGTTTGGCTCAAATCTGATAAAAACAGACTTAAAACAAACGCTTCTCTGTTTCCAGAAACGACGAGTTTTTAACATCTATTGACTCACTTCTGCTGTTTTTCATACTGTCAACCTTTTAGTGAGCTTTTCTCACGCCTCCTGTGATAAAAGAACACATATCACGCCTGACGGGATTGGACAGTGCGTCTATGTGGACACAGCCCGTGGCGACTGATTTCCTGCAGTGGGTCACTTACATCACATTGTACTTTCATAGAAAGAGAACTTCGTAAGTAAAGGTTTAAAAAAACGATTAAGGACGTCAGATTCATCTATTCCTGCATTACCCTCTGGACTCTGTGGACAGTGTGGGCTCATTTTTCACTTCAAGGTCCAGTCACTTCATTCAGGTTCGTTGGTCAACACCCACCTTGGCCCTCAGAGCCAGAAGCAGCAGACTCCTCTGACGCTCCGTCAGCAGCTGGGGGACAGCATCGGTTACCAGGGAAACAAAGTCCTCCAGCATCCCATAATGCCTCACGCTCTGTTCCCAAGCGACCTGCCACATGGCGGCCGTCACCAGGCGGAGAGGAGGGATGAGGAGGCGCAGGGAGGACAGAGGAAGAGGGGAGGCTGAGGAGCAAGAACTGGAGGTTAAAATCTGAAGTCAAATAACATCTGGGAGCCACGGGGCCGCATCCTGTTTAGTTCAGTCCGCCCCACTACCACTGCTGTAGAGAAATAGTTCATTATGTGGAGTCACACAGTTGTGAATAACTAACTAACTGAACTAA